TGCTATAGTCCACGAAGTCTCAAAGAGTCACACATGACTGAGCAACTGAACAACTACAGCAGTATAAATAATAAAAATAAAACAGAATTTGAGAGAATAAAATGTGCCGCAGAGAAACTTCTAGTAAGGCTAGGACATGGCTGTCTAGGACTGCTTCCAACCAGGTGGTAAATCTGCCTAACACTAACCTATATCTTCTCCATCTTGTATTTTATTAGTAAAGAAGCTGACATTTCAGTAACCATCAAACAGTCTTTTTTTTTTTCCTTCAATTTTTTTCAGAACTTGAATTGGGGGAAGCTTTTGAAGAGTAGAAGCTATAGTAATAGGAAAGTGAGAAAGAAGAATCACTGAACTAATATATGATTTAATTAAACAATTTTTGTTTTCTTCATTTTAAATTACCAACACACAAACTGGATGAAACATACTCTTTGTTTCATGACCAGCGCCATCTACTCTCCTAAGTTATGTTATTTTAATAAGGTACTAAATACCTACCTCTTCCCAGTCTCCATTGCTGAATCCACTTCTTGTTCCAGTCTAAGAACCACAAAGTCATGAATCTGTTCTATTCTTAATCTATATTCATTCATTACAGGTTCTCACCCAATTCACTGGCTTCAAAGAAGAGCTAAGTATCTTGACCCTTACTTAAAATCCACACTCACATACCAAAAGGCTACATGATACTTCAGTATAGCTAAGGAATATTTTCAACTTAACCTATCCATGACAGACTTCCAGATCTTTCTGCTCAATTCTGCTCCACATGTCTTGTCATGAAGCCTGCATGAAGGGATGGATACACATGAAAGGACCAGTGGAGGAGAACCAAAACCCCGCCTTTAGTTCTTGGCCTTCACCAACTGTCAGACCTCTGAAGGAGGCCTTCCAAAACCAAGCAGTTGGTGACTGACTGCCCACCGACCACCTAAGCACTTACTGAGCTCGGCCACCTCCCTGGAGCAGAGTCAAGACATCTCGGCTGCACCCTTCCCACACGGCCAACACACACAACTGTCAGCAAATTAGCGGTAGTTATTTTTCGTCACTAAGGATTCTGATACCTTTGGGAACAGCAATAAATACCTGATAGACTTGGAAACATAAGGTTTTTGGTGACTTCTCACCACAGTTAGAAGGAAATCCGAAGTCTGCACCACGACTGTAGTTTCTAAGACCTAAACCTTGCGGTCTCTGACTCTCCCGAAACCTCCTGCCACTCGCCATTGCCCACTGGAGTCCAGTCCTCAGGCCTCTGTGTGGCCCCACAAAAGCAGCAAGGCGCCTACTACCTCAGAGCTTGTCTACAGCTCTTCTCCTTGGGGATTCTTTTCTGCTAAATATTAACTGATTTTACTTCTGCACCTCACCTGTCTTTGTTAGTATATCATCTCCTCAGAGAGGTCTTTCCTGATCACTCTATCTAAAACAAAAAGCAAAAAAACAACAAAAAAATATCCTAGACACCATGTCCTCTTACCCGGCTTTACTTTTCTTCATCAATATCCTCATCTGATATCATATAGATGATTCTGTATGTAACAGTATGTAACTATGTGTAACAAGCAACAGTAATTGCTTGTTGCATATTACTTATATTCCCAAGGGAATATTGGCTCAATAAGAGAGACAAACTGTTTATTCTTATTTTCCCAACACCTGAAACATGCTGTTGTGTTTGCTCAGTTGCTAACTTGTGTCCGACTCTTTGCAGCCCCATGGACTATAGCCCGCCAGGCTCCTCTGTCCATGGGATTTTCCAGGCAAGAATACTGGAGTGGGTTGACATTTCTTCCTTCAAGGATGTTCCTGACCCAGGGATCGAACTCACATCTCCTGCATTGGCAGTGGATTCTTTACCACTGAGCCACTGACAAATGCTGGCTAACTGAATGAATGAATCGTGTGACTTGACTGGAACACAGGATAAGTTAAGAGCAGCAGTAGGAAATAGGCCTTCATAGGAAGGAAGATTGCAAGTGTCAACAGAAAAAGGTGCTGGATATTGTTGACACTCTGCCTACCTTCCTTGCAGTCCTAGAAACTGATCACCTGGCCTGTATGCTTTGCTTCTATTGGCTTGCACCCAAAATTTTTTCCTAAGGATGTCATGTGGGTTATCTTCAATACTTTGACTATATAGGCCAGAAGTCAGAAATGCTGGGAGTTTATGTCTCTCCCAGGGTGACTCATGTGCAATAGACCTTGAGGTATAATGTATACTTCAGAGCTCCTATGAGATCCAGTGGGTGCTCAGATGTCATCTGAATCATTCATAGATCTTCCCCTTCCCTGTCTAGATTCCTGCACTTCACTGTCAATTTCTCCAGGCAGCATCTCCTCAGGTAATCACTCACACATGAAACCTCTTCCCACTGTCTGCTTCCAGGAAGCTCCACTGTATCTTCCCTTTATGAACAATGGAAAGTCATTTATGGTCTCTGCATAAGAACACAATAATAGCAAGTATTCACTGGATACTAAGTGCTTAGCCCTGTATTAAGAACTTTGAATGTTTTATTTATTTTAATCCTCACGGCCTAATACCATCCCATTTTGGTGTAACAAGTATTTGTATTTTAAAAGTCTATTCAGCAGCAGTATATAGGATTATTAACTGGAGGCCATCTAGTCAAAGCTATGGGTTTTCCAGTAGTCATGGATGGATGTGAGAGTTGGACTATAAAGAAAGCTGAGTGCCGAAGAATTGGTGCTTTTGAACTGTGGTGCTGGAGAAGACTCTTGAGAGTCTCTTGGACAGCTAGGCAATCAATCCAGTCAATCCTAAAGGAAAACAATCCTGAATAGTCATTGGAAGGACTGATGCTGAAGCTGAAGCTCCAATATTTTGGCCACCTGATGTGAGCAGCCAACTCATTAGAAAAAATCCTGATGCTGGGAAAGATTGAAGGTGGGAAGGGAAGGGGACAACAGAGGATGAGGTGGTTGGATGGAATCACTGACTCAATGGACATGAGTCTGAGCAAGCTTTGTGAGATGGTGAGGGACAGGGATACCTGGCGTGCCGCAGTCCGCAGGGTCGCAAAGAGTCAGACACAACTGAGTGACCGAACTGAACTGACCTGAAAGACACCAGCGAGGAGGCTCCTGCAGTAGTGCAGGCAAGAGATGACAAGGATTGGGGTTTTGTCACCAGAAATAGAAACAGGAAGGCAGCCACCAGAAACCAAAGGAACAGAATTTGGGATTGGCTCTGCCCATATGTAGTGAGTCCCTCAATGTTCTTCCCCTTAGTTTTCTTAATTGTAAAGAAATGGGTTTGGGAAAAAGTTGTCTGTCTCAGAGTTACTTCCTTTCAGGAAATCCAGGAAGACACTGAGCATGAAGTCTTTGAAAGTGAACTGAAATTCCCCATGACTCCTCACAGTATGGCACAGAGGGAGCAATGTGGGTGGTAGGCTGGTTGTACTCAAGGGAAGATTCATATTCTTGTATTTTTTTCTTTTTTCTTTTTTTGTTCATTGACTCTAGATAAATTAAATCTGATGTGTTTCAGACTACTTACCTGCACAATGGGAATAACCATTACCTTACCTTACTTTACCTCTTCTTTATCTCATCTTCTTTTTCTCATCTTTCTTTAAATCTAATTTCCTCTAGTTCAAAATTTGTAATAAAAACCCTTATTATATTTTGATCTTTTGCTTTATTAGCATTAGAATAAATTTCTTTCTCCAAATTTTATTGTAAAATAAAATGTATAAATTATATTATGGAGTTAAATAGGATTTTTTTATGCTGGCCTGGAAGACACATTATCATTTTTAATACTGCATCTATATGCTAAAAATTTACTGCTGAGAATAAAAGATTCACAAATATATTTCCACAAAGGAAAAATGCTACATGAAACAGTTTTTTTCATGAGGTTGTGATGAAATGTTATTTACCTTACACAAATAAGGAAAAAATGGAAAAAGGACAAGAAGTAAAGGGAAGAGAATAAGAGAAAGCAAAGAGAATTCAAATAAAAGAATTATAATATTGAGTCTTCTAATTCTAGGATACAGCATAGCTACTTACTAAGTCTAATTTCTCTCAGCAGTGTTTTGAGATTTTCAAGATAAAGAACTTGAATATCTTACATTAGATTTATTTGTAAAGGCTTAATACTTGTAAAAGTTTAATACTGACTCAATGGACATGGATTTGAGCAAACCCCTGGAGAGAGTGGAAGACAGAGGAGCCTGGCATGCTGCAGTCCATGGGGTTGCAAAGAATTAGACACGACTTCACAACTGAACAACAACAAAAATACTTTTATGCTATTGCAAATCATATTTTTAAAAAATTCATTTTCTGATATTTGGTTAGTCAAAAATGATCATAGATTTTTTTATATTGACTTTGATTCTAGCAAACTTATTAAATTAACTGCAATAATTTGTATATTCTTCTGATTTTACATGCACACAGTCATGTTAGCTAAAATTACAGTGTTGTCTTTCTTTATAACTTTTATTTTTTTTTTGTCTTATTGAACTAAGATTCGTAGTGCAAAGTTAAATATCAATTATAATTGTGATTATAATTGCTCTGTGCCCAAACTTGCTCTGTGCCCAAACTTTGGAAGAAAGGATTTAATATTTTACTATCAAGTATGATACAAACTTTTTTAAAATTCAAGTGTTTTTCATATTAAATAAATTTCCTAGTTGAGACTTTAAAAATATTAATGGTATTAGATTTTATCAAATGCATTTTTATTCATGTATTGAGATAATCATACTAATTGATTCTGTTAATGTGGTGACTTATATTGATTCACTTCAGAATGTTAAGTTGATTTGAGAGTGATTCTAATTATAGGAAAATTTTTGAGGTAAATGAACTTTGGAATATCATTAAAAGTAAGGTTTTAAAAAAATAATTCTAATTTTAAAATATATGTAAAATATATTCATGTGATAGATGCTTTATCTCATGTAACTAATTCATCTAAAAGAGAATACTCTATCTGTTTCAGTGAAAACATGGACAAGAGAAACAGCCTGGAACAGCCATCAGTAAGAAATGTTGAGCAGTGGCAGAAGGAGTCTGATTCTGTACTGTACAGGTGAGTTGCCTCTCTAGTCCTCATATGCCTATCCTCAAATTTCGTGGTATGTATGTAAGTCTACTTCCTCACTGAGCTTCTATTACTTAAAACCAAACACAATAATGTCTAGAAGAGAATATATTTCCAGAAAATTAATTCAAACTGGGCACAGAAAAAGTGATGCCGATAAAATACATTAAAAAGTTATCAATTGGTTATCCTTGGCTTGCAAAAATACAGTTGATGCTTTTTCCTTTGAATTCATGATTGTTCAGAAATAAAAGGCTTCACCTATCTCTTGACCCAGCCACTTCATGCATGCACATTCTGACAGTGCTTTAGCCCAGATCATAGAACCATTTCCATAAACCCTTCATTCTGTCCTGGGAACTGGACAGTCAAAGCATTTCACTTGTGGAGTGAACCTTTAATCAGTAAGGAAAGGAAGCCAATTGACAATTCTCCCTCTTTTCCCCTAATGAATTATCCTGAGATACAGTATGCATGGCTTCCGTGAGGATTTTGCTGTTGGATTAAGCAATCCATGGTGCTTGGGAGTGGCCAACTGATAAGGCATCATCATCATCACTTTGTCTTTCCTTCTCCTTGTTTCAGTGACTTGCCCCTCATCCTGTTCCCTAGGATTAAATATATAAGCCATCCGCTTCAATCCCTCCTTTCTGGGAAACCCAAGCTAAAATAATACATTTCTGTATTCTGTGTTTGTAATCATTCACAGATAATACCAAGTCAAGTGATTATCTGGAAAAATCTATTTTTTGCTATTTTCAAAAATTTCCCCACACAATTTTTATATTATTTTAAATTTTAAACCTCCCTTCCCATGCTTTAAATTAGTCATGATGATCCAAAAAAATAAAATAAAATCCCTACCATTTCTAGTTTAAAGAATATACCTTTTAAAGTATGCAATCCCTGAACATTCCTTCAGGAAATATTTAGATCATATTTTCATATTACCAAAAAGCTTAGGTAATATGCCTAGAAGTCTAAATTATCACAAAACTTATCTTTGTAACTTGCAAGATTAGACTTTAATTTGCCATTTTCTCATTTATCAATTAATACGCCAAATAGCATATTAAAAAGCAGAGACATCACTTTGCCAACAAAGGTCCTTAAAATCAAAGCTATGGTTTTTCTAGTAATCATGTATGGATGTGAGAGTTGGACCATTAAGAAGGTTGAGCGCTGAAGAATTGATGCTTTTGAACTGTGGTGCTGGAGAAGACTCTTGAGAGTCTCTTGGACTGCAGGGAGGTCCATCCAGTCCATCCTAAAGGAGATCAGTCCTGGGTGTTCACTGGAAGGACTGATGTTGAAGCTGAAACTCCAATACTTTGACTACCTGATTGAAAGAGCCGAGCCAACTCACTGGAAATGATCCTGAAGCTGGTAAAGATTGAGGGCAGGAGGAGAAAGGGGCAACAGAAGATGAGATTGTTGGATGGCATCACTGACTCAATGGACATGAGTTTGAATAGCCTCCGAGAGACAGTGAAGGACAGGGAAGCCTGGTGTGCTGCAGTCCATGGGGTCCCAAGAAGTTGAACTCAAATGAGTGACTGAACCACAACAACATTTATCAATTGCATCATGAAATCTATGTGACAATTTTAAATGTTTAATACTCATCACATCCAATGAATATATAATTTGTCTTTCAAATAAAATATTTAGGTGTATTTTTGAATTCTTCTAATTGAAATCAAAATATATATAATAAAAACATTTGCATTAGAGTAATATATTTAAAAAATAATTTTTAGATGCATAGGTAGGTTTTATTTGTAGACCTGAAAAAAATAGGTTTAAAACTATACTTTAAAACTTGCACTCCTTCATATTGTATTGGAAGAGTGGCCCTCAGTTATATGAGAGGTTTTCTGATGAGCAGCAACCAAAGCAGTAGATGATAGCAAATAATTTCACTAAAAGTGAGCCTTGTGGCTCAGCTGGTCAAGAATCCGCCTGCAATGTGGGAGTCCTGGGTTCGATCCTTGGGCTGGGAAGATCCCCTGGAGAAGGGAAAGGCTACCCACTCCAGTATTCTGGCCTGGAGAATTCCATGGGCTGTGTAGTCAATGCAGTCACAAAGAGTCAGATACGACTGAGCAACTTTCACTATAAAACATAAAGGTTGGTAGAAATGGGTATTCTGCCTCTAAATACTTCTCACTCATTTATGTAGTCTGAATTTCACCTTTATAACTTTTATTTTTTGTTAAAAATGTTATCGTATTAAGATTAAAATTTAAGCAAGAAGAATAATGCTTTAAATCATAACATTTATAAAATATCACCATAAAATCAACAAGACTATCGGATATTTATTAAATGCATTTTATGTACCAAGACTGAATACTTTATATGTAGTTATTCATTTCTCACAGCCCTACAAAGCAGGAATAATTATTATTCCCACTCTACACATGAAGAAAATAAGGTCAAGAACATTTAAGTAACTTGCCCCAAAGTCACATAATTAAGAAATAATGGAATTGAAATTGGAACTCAAGATGTCTGACTTTATGCTAAAAACTAGTAACATTATGAAAATACTGAATTGCTGAGTATATTCATTTCTTCCCAGTAGCAGTCAATATGACAGGCTTCAACTGTTCCTCAAAAGCCAGGGACATCATCTGGAGTATTTGAATGACAGCTTAATAGGTAGAGAATCCACATACTGTTCAGGCAATAAACAAAACAGCTAGGTAAAGGACATTTTCTAATAGGGAGACTTGAACACTAGGCAGGCGGTTCTAAAGACAAGCATATCATCTTGGTTTTCCAAGTAGACACATTTTAAGGCTACAGATTCATTCAAAAATATTTCTATTACTCAAAATGTTTTGTAAAACCTCTTTGGGAACTGCCTTTCAGACTAGTTTCTAAGTTGCAAGATAAACTCATCACTATTCTTCTTTGGCTCTTAAACCAGAAGAACACAGTAAGTCCCCTACATATGAACCTTCAAGTTGAGAGCTTTCAAAGATGCAAATGTGTGTTCGCATGTCCAGGTATGTAAGTTAGTTCGTGAATCTGGCATACATTGTCACATGTGTGCATTTCTACAAGCGGTTGTGTTCTTGTGTACTGTATGGTATAATACTGCATACAGTACAGTAATGGAGTATTTTATTTCTTGCCTGTTCACTAGATGCCGGTGTGCCGGTTGATGTACTGTACTGCTTTGCTTTTCAAGGTACTGTACCGTAAGATTAAGATTTTTTTTTCTGTTTGTTTATGTATTATTTGTGTGAAAAGTATTATAAGCCTATTACAATACAGTACTACTATATAGCCTATTGTGTAAGACAAGTGGCTAGGCTAACTGTGAGATTTAACAAATGTGCTCTTGGAATGGAAATTGCTCATGTGTAGGGGACTTACTGTATCACAAACTGTCAATATCTATCTAAAATATAAGACTTCAACCCAAATTAAATTCTGCTCTAGAGATTAAGATCTCACCACACTAAAAATAATCAAAAGAATATATGAGAAGTCCTAGGAACTCCCAGAATATTTTAAGGAAAATCAGTGACTACTAAGGAGAAAGAAAAATTATTATTTCAGATTTATAAGATATCTGAAGATATTTTTAAACATGCAAACTTTCTTTTTTGGCAGTCAAGTCTTGATGATCTTAGTGTGAGTCAATTTTGAGATCTTTTCAGTGCAGAGTTGAAAGACTGTGAGAAGTAAGGGCTGGAGGAAAGAACACAGGAGAGGTGTTTGGGAAGGTATGTTTAACCTGCTACCCAGCATCCTAAGGGTTATTTAGGAATTATCAAGTGGGTCCCATGATAATTTTCTCTCCTTGCTTGTTTTAAAAAGTGATTCATGGGCTGATACTTCAACCTGGTATGATTTATGCCACAGTAATATCTTCAGCCAACTGAGATGTCTCATGCAGATGCAGTGTTCATTAACAGTCTTCGGTCAACATAAAGAAATTTGGTTAACATAGTATTTAGCTGCTCTCTAAAGAGTAAAATTTTCTCTACAGATTTTTATTCCTATATGTATTGGCCCCTTGCCCATTTTGTAAGTCCTGAATGGCAGGAATGCATCATCCCCAGGAAAGGCAGGGTGGGAAATGAAAGTAGAGCTGCCAAGGCAAAATACTTAAATTGTGTGATTGCTTCTCCATTCTTAACATAATAACTGTTTACTTGAGGAGATTATACTTCATCACAATGTCTACTTTAGTCAAAGCAGTTTATGCAACAATTCCCTACATTTTCCCATATTTCTCAGAATATACAGTTTCATATTACTGAAATTGCATTCAGAAAAGCAGTTTTGTACAAACTATTTCACTAGCCAATTGCTATCATCAACTACTGAAATAACAGTAACGTTAATCTTTTCCCTATACTGTACATTATTTTCTAGCATTTTGTTTATATTAAAACATTTTAGAATACTTAAGTACAACCATATATTGTGAGTTTTTGGAGTTGTTATTGGGTCATTAGTGATAAACAGTCCTTAATTATCTACCCACCTTGAAGTCTGAAATGTAAAACTAACTCAGTCATTTGAGTGTATTAAGGAGAAGATACCTCAACAGATTTAGCACAGCTTAAAGCTTTTCCTTAAAAATGCTTGCAGCTTCTGCATGAGTAACAAATGTATTTTTCTTTGTTCTGCATAATAGAAATGACACATGAAATTAAAATAAGCTCCTTTTCAAAACAAAAACTGAACACATATAAATCTGCTGTATACATTTCAGCTTTAGCCTTTGAGCTTTTAACATTTTCCTTTCCTATTTGACTGTGCATAATAAACAGTGAGAAAAGCACAAGGCTATTAATTATCCCTAAACAAGGACATTCCCCAATGTTTTTATTTGAATTGGTTCACCATTTCAAGGAAGAAATATAAAATTTACTATAAAACTGGGCAATTATTTATAACTCTTTATTCACATTTTTTTTTCCTTCTTAAAGTCTGTTAAGGGGGTTTTAGGCCATCCACAAACACAGATCAGAGGTACTTGACAAGAAACAGAGACCTGCACTATATATTCTGTTGACTACAGAGAATTTTCTCTTTCTTGGTTTGATCTCAAAGGAAGACCTCTGTGAAATAATGCATCTGCATGAATAGGCTACAGTTTTACTATATTTTTGTACTGTATTCAAAACATTAGGCTTAAAGGGGGAAAAATGGCCCTTGAAAGTTACTACTCCATACAAATAGCTACAGAGTAAAATATATAAGACACACACAAACACACACACTTACACCCAGAGTTTAATTTAATCATTTCAACACTGTATGGTTCAGAATATAAGTATGGACAAAGTCAGGTTGCCAATCAAGTTGCACTATTGAGATATCCTAATTTTGCAACAAATGAGAATACGATTAATACTAAATGGATCTGCATTCATCCTTGGGAGTTCTGACAATAACTCTTTCTAGTCTTTCTTACTGAGAGTGCTATATGTGTTTATTTTACATACTCCTAAAATATTAGGGGCACAATGTTCTCTGAGTTCTTCTGTTTTACCTGTTTTCCAGGTAAAATATGTTCCATTATCTATTATTTTAATGATGAAGCTAAATTGATAATGTCCTAACTTTGGAATTTTGCACTAAACCCATTAGTCATAGAAAGTATTTACCCCACATGATTTAATGAAGTAAGAAAACATTCCTCACTGGCATAGACACTCAGATGAGCCAGAGTGTTTAGTTTAATATGGCCAGGCAGCCAGTTCACATAAAAAGGATTTTTGAGGAAAAACTGGAAGAGCAATGCTTTCTTCAGGAGGCCTACCATTTTCACATCCAACCTGGCAAAGAAGAAACAGAATGACACCATATGTCATCCTAAAGGCTAAATAAGTTCAAGTCAGTTTGAAAAATGTCCATACTCTAATACAAAGATGATGGTGATGGTTTCATCACTAAGTTGTGTCCGACTCTTGTGACCCCCCTTTGACTGTAGCCTGCCAGGCTTCTCTGTCCATAGGATTTCCCAGGCAAGACTACTGAAGCAGGTTGCCATTTCCTTCTCCAGGGGATCTTCCCCACCCAGTATTGAATCTAGGTCTCCTGCATTGCATGCAGATTCTTTACCAACTGAGCTATGAATACAAAGACAAATTGCAAATATCCTAGCTTTTAAATTCTAATATAGGATTACTCTGATCAGTCATGCTATATATTTTACTGCATACTGTCATTATTGATCACAACATGGCCCCTTTTTTTCACTCTTGTTGACACCTCATTCCTCCAACCATTTCTCAGGCACAAGTCTTGCAAACTTAACATGCATCCTTTCTCCTCACCTTCCATATTTTAATTGGTATAAATTTGCACTCATTAAGAACATATAGGGAGCTTCTCTGATGGCTCAGTTGATAAAGAATCTGCCTTCAATGAAGGAGACCTGGGTTCAATCACTGGGTTGCAAAGATGCCCTGGAAAAGGGAACAGCTACCCACTCCAGTGTTCTGGCCTGGAGAATTCCATGGACTGTAGAGTCCATGGGGTCGCAAAGAGTTGAACATGACAGATTGACTCTCACTTTCAGTCACTTTCAACAACATATAGGGTAGTTTCAATAAATGGACAGTAAAATGATATTTTACCCTATATATCCTTAAGCATCTTACTTTTCATTGTTCAATGCTATGTTTTTGAGATGCCTTTATATGGACATACATCAGACTACCCGGGAATGAACTGACTTAAGTTATTGCCTCACACAAATAATTGTGTAAGTATATGTGTGTGTACCTGTGTCCCAACTGGACAACCAGTTAAGAAGTCAAAAAATCAGCCAGATCAATTTTTGGTATTGAGATAATAACCAAAGGCTGATTGATTCACCCAGAAACAATCAATTTACTTTAGGTCAAACAACTAGTTGATATAATTTTTGTCTCAATAGAATGGTTGTTAAGACCTTTATGAGGGATTGTATCTTTGCTACATCTTTGTTGCCTAGTAAAAGGTCTGTTAGAATAATGACTTGATATTTAACTGGAAGTCATTAGTCTTCCTAGAATCCACTTGCCAAGCTCTTAGTATTTTATTAATATTTATAACATTGATATTTCAAGGATAACATTTTAAATCAACAAAAGGACAGAGACCTTGATGGTGCATTGTGTCCCACTAAGCAAGGCAGGTGTCAGTGATTCAAGTCTCTAATTAGCATAATGTCAATATGCAGTCTGTCCCATCCAGTGACTCTTCCCTTTTAGAAATCCCACTTTCTGTAAATTTACATTTTCTAATGCTAGCATTTCCTTCAAGTCAAAACAATAAATTCATTCTTTACAGAAGAAGTTAAGTACTTTAGTTTTAAATATTAGTCTATGAAAAAGACTCTAGCAGCTTCTTTTTATAAGCTTTGGGTGATATTTAAATAATAATCAGATGTTTTATAAATGGAATGTCTATAAGCAGTAAATAAAATTTTAATTAATTTAAACAAATAATGTGCCAATGATTAAGCATAGTTAATTTCAATTTTATCTTTTGGTGACGGGTATCTAAGAGACTGATTTGTTTAGCTGTCTGGTCATGAGTACTTAGAAGTCTTACTTTCCCTGATGAATGCTCTTCAGGAGCACTGGGGGCATAAAAATCATTTAAGGAAACTTTCAAATCACACATATTTCCTACATGAAGACACATTCTTTTGCATATGACAAGGGAATGGGTATATTTTCAAATGTCTACAGTATGTAATGTACCAAACTCTAAATCCAAATAATATAGTCTAAATAAGAAATCGTTATACCTATTTTAACATGAAGAAACAGAACCAGGAAGGAAGGTGCATGCTCTCGCATGCATGCTCAGTCATTTCAGTTGTGTCTAACTCTTTAGAACCGCACAGACCACAGCCTGCCAGATTCCTCTGTCCATAGGATTTTCCTGGCAAGAATACCAGAGTGGGTTGCCATGTCCTCCTCCAGGGGATCTTCCTGACCCCGGGATCAACACCCCATCTCCTGTGTCTCCTGCATTGCAGGTGGATTCTTTACCACTAAGCCACCAGGAAGCCTAGGAAGGAAGATAACTTGTTCAATTTCAGATAAGGAGTATTTGATCCAGGACAGAACTAAGGACTTTGTGACTCCAGAGCTAGTGGGGTTTCCTTTCAATAGTCACCTCCCAACATATGAGTTACACTTACAATGAAAGAAGCCTTGAGGCACATTTGGACCTCAGAAATCAAGCTTTGAAAGAAGGAAAGATACCAACTTTCAAACTGTCCTTTGAAGTTGGCCAGATATCAAAATTACTTTGTTGGAAAAGGATGTAGGAACTGATTATAATTTCATTGATGGGACTATGGGACCCTTCAGATAGTGTCAATAGGTAATTTTAATGTTTTGATTCCTCACTTTTGCCCATATTAACTTAAATAAAATATTTAGGAAAACTTGGTTATTCTTATGTTATTGATGTTTCTAACTTCTTCAAGTAAAGATCCCACATTTTCTTTGCATGTGGCAGGGGCTATTCTGATTATCAACTGTTGTTATCTAAGATAAACAATTCAGTAAGTATGTTAGCATATGTTTATGTTGGCTTAATTTGTAACAATGTGACAACATATAGGTAATACAGTAGTAAGTAGAACATGTCTTTAAAAAAGAAGTCTCTTAGACTGAGGGGGAAAAATCACATAAAACTGGGTAATATTATGTGAGCACTGCAAAAGAAACTTTTTGATTTATGATATGTTACACACTTGGGGATACTTTAGGATAAAAGGGATATCAAAATCTAATTCCTTTTTCTTTATTATAGGTACAACTATGAAACAATATTCACTAGATGGGATCATCAGAACCCATTTACAACTGCTATACTTTTTGAAAATATGGCAATTGTATCAGACATGCATTCATTACAGGCCTACTGTAACCAACCGGAGATGATGATGGCTTTTCTGAAAAACTACAGAATGTCAAATGGGTGCTGCTTCTACTTTACAAATATACTAGACTCAAAATTCAAAGGCAAAAGGTATATAAGTCAATGTTTACTATCTATCCTCTCAACCATCAATGTTTGACTCATGCAACTCACTGTTTATCTATTTTTATAAATATATGGTGTTATTCAAAAAGGGACACCAAAGATATACTGTCCATATATACTTAATGCAAAAAAAAAAGGAAAATTCAATTAAAAGCTCCTATGGTATCTTTCTGGAGGAGGAAATGGCAGCCCACTCCAGTGTTATTGCCTGGAGAGTCCCATTAACAGAGGAGCCTGCAGTCCATGGGGCTGCCAAGAATCGGACATGACTGAGCGACTAAACAACAACAAACGGTACCTTTCTATTCAGATTTTTCAACTTGAATGAAAATATCTCCCCAGTTGTGAATTCTCACTGTGAGTGCTTTAGAAGAATGGTACCTGGCCTGATTTTGAAATTTTATTGAGATTAAAAGTAAAAATACATGTTGTGCTCTATATTTTTTATTACATTTATATAATTTTAAAAATAACAACTGGAATGTATAGATTACAGTGCACCATTGTGTTTGTTTGTGTGTGTTTTATATCTGTGTATTAGAAAAACTTCTAGTAAATCTTATGTTTCCAAAGAAAATCATGAAGGTGGCAGTAGTGGCAAAGCTTTTGAATTTCTTCAAACACCCATTATCAAAGTGAGCAGAGGAACTAGACAGTAAAACCAAAAACCTATAGACAACATTACAACAAACTAGGTAAGAACTTGCCCTACCACCCCTCAAAACAAGCAGATGGGGACAAACCAACAGCAACCATTGCCAGTGAAGGAAAAAAACAGGCAGAAGCAAAGATATTTAGTCAACCAGAAAACGACAGAACCCCATAATAGCTGACAGGCACTGGATGTTTGATGGATCAACTTGAGAACAGTAGCTAAACTTGAAGGTGTTTACTCAATCCAAAAGCAGGCAAGTTTAAGGCGCTCATATTAGTAGTTAGGACTTTTCCTGGTGCCTCAGACTGTAAAGGATCTGCGTGAAATGCAGGACACATGGGTTTGATCCCTGGGTCTGGAAGATCCCCTGGAGAAGGGAATGGCCGCCCACTCCAGTATTCTTGACTGGAGAATTCCATGGACAGAGGATCCTGGTGGGCTACAGTCCATGGGGTTTCAAAGATTTGGACACAACTGAGACAGAAGAATTATACTAAAAAGATCTTCACGACACAGATAATCATGAGGGTATGATCACTCACCTAGAGCCAGATATCCTGGAAGGCAAAGTCAAGTGGGCCTTAGGAAACATCACTATGAACAAAGCTAGTGGAGGTGATGGAATTCCAGTTGCGCTATTTCAAATCCTAAAAGACGATCTGTGAAAGTGCTTCATTCAGTAAGCCAGCAAATTTGGGAAACTCAGTAGTGGCCACAGGACTGCAAAAGGTCAGTTTTCATTCCAATCCCAAAGAAAGGCAATGCCAAAGAATGATCAAACTACCATACAACTGCACTCATCTCACACACGAGCAGAGTAACGCTCAAAATTCTCCAAGCCAGGCTTCAACAGTATGTGAACTGTGAACATCCAGATGTTCAAGCTGGATTTAGAAAAGGCAGAGGAACCAGAGATCAAATTGCCAATATCCATTGGATTATAGAAAAAGCAGGAGAGTTCCAGAAAAACAACTACTTCTGCTTTATTGATTATGCCAAAACCTTTGACTATGTGGATCACCACAAGCTGTGGAAAATCCTTAAAGAAATGGGAATAACAGACCACCTGACCTGCCTCTTGAGAAATCTGTATGCAGGTTAGGAAGCAACAGTTAGAACTGGACATGGAACAACAGACTTGTTCCAAATTGGGAAAGGAGTACATCATGGCTGTATATTGTCACCTGCTTATTTAACTTATATGCAGAATACATCATGAGAAATGCTGAGCTGGATGAAGCACAAGCTGGAATCCAGATTGCCAGGAGAAATATCAATAATCTCAGGTACACAGATGACCCCACCCTTATGGCAGAAAGTGAAGAAGAACTAAAGAGCCTCTTGATGAAAATAAAAGAGGAGAGTGAAAAGGGTGTCTTAAAGCTCAACATTCAGAAAACTAAGATCATGGCATCTGGTCCCATCACTTCATGGGAAATAGATGGGCAAACAGTGGAAACAGTGACAGACTTTACTTTGGGGGGCTCCAAAATCACTGTAGATGGTGACTGCAGCCATGAAACTAAAAGACGCTTGCACCTTGGAAGGAAAGTTATGACCAACCTAGACAATATATTAAAAAGCAGAGACATTAGTTTGCCAAGAAAGGTCCGTCTAGTCAAGGCTATGGTTTTTCCAGTAATCATATATGGATGTGAGAGTTGGACTATAAAGCAAGCTGAGTGCCGAAGAATTGATGCATTTGAACCGTGGTGTTGGAGAAGATTCTTGAGAGTCCCTTGGATGGCAAGGAGATCCAACCAGTCCATCCTAAAGGAAATCAGTCCTGAATATTCATTGGAAGGACTGATGTTGAAGCTGAAACTCCAATACTTCGGCCACCTGATGTGAAGAGCTGACTCATTGGAAAAGACCCTGATCCTGGGACAGACTGAAGGCCGGAGGAGAAGGGGACGACGGAGGATGAGATGGTTGGATGGCATCACCGACTCAATGGACATGAGTTTGAGTAAACTCTGGGACCTGGTGATGGACAGGGAGACCTGGCGTGCTGCAGTCCATGGGGTTGCAAAGAGTCAGACACAACTGAGCAACTGAACTGACTGACTGACTATCTGAGCAACTAACACGTTCATTAAGGTGTGAAGAAAGCAGAGCAGACTAATCCCTGTGAAGTGACACCTACTCTGAGGAGAAACTCCTGAAAGTGGAATCAAAATTGAGCAAGATTCAGACAATATAAGCAGAAGATAGAAATTTCAGGTAAAATTTGGGAGCACAGAAGCAGAACAAAGCCAAGAAACCTTAGTGAATGAATGATCACACTGTGAACACTAAATGAAATAGCAAAAGAGAAAACATATTTTAGGGGCTATTTTGAGCCACACCCTCTTCTAAAAATCCAGCAAAATTAATAAAATTGAGCAAGATAAAAAGAAAATAATCAAGTCCTACTCAAAGTTATTGTAAGAAAAAAGGTCAAATTCTATCTAAAATTATTTCAAGATTTTTTAAAAGATCAAAATAACATTCCTACAACCATTTTGAGCATTCTAGAAGGACATGTCTACAAAACAGATCAAACCACACTCTACTCTTTCAAAACAATCTAAAAGGCATTAAACTATGATCAGTGATATGAAAGAACACCACAAATCATAATTAGAAAACTTATAAGAATCAGGTGACAAAACTCAGGAAACAGTCATAAACAAAAGAAAAAAATCAGAAATGAAGGCTAAATTGAAGACATTAGTAAAAAAAAAAATAGAAGTCAATGCTTTAAGTGGAATGAAAGATATTAGTAAAAGGAATTTTTAATTAGAAAAAAAATAAGAAAAAGGAGAAAAAATTTCTTAAAAACTTAAGACTTTCCTGAAGCAAAATTTTAAAATGCCACCTGAAACTTAGATATTGAAAGAGCTTGTTTTAATGTGGATCTTAAATTATTGAAAAAGAATATTTTATGCATCGAAGCTGTAGAGTTAGTGTCCTTATAACAGAAATAAAATCAGATGACTAGACTTGTAAACAGTAACACTTATGATACTCAAGGAAAGAATGTAAGCCAAATATTTTTTACCCAGCAAAACTGACACTCAAACACAAAGAATAGAGACAAATGGTTATTACATGCAGGAAGAGAAAATATCATTTCCATGACTCCTTTCAGAAAAATAAAGAAAAATCTCCAGACAATTACAATAACCAGAGAAACTCTGATACAAATTTAGTAGTAAACATTAAAGATGGAGTTAAAAATGGAGATTAAAGGGAGATGATGGTTGGTAATGACTTTAGGCTCTGAAATTTTACAAATAGTAAAACTATGAAAGATGAAGCAGTGGTAAGAGCACATCAAGGACTTTTAACAAAATAATCTCAATTACATGTTTAGTGGTGGCAGTACATGAGTACTGTTATTGCTACTCCAGGTTCTTTCGATTTCCATTTGCATGGAATATCTTTTTCCATCCCCTCACTTTCAGTATGTATGTGTCCCTAGGTCTGAAGTGGCTCTCTTATAGACACCATATATACAGGTCTTGTTTCTGAATTCATTCAGCCAGTCTGTATCTTTTGGTTGCAGCTGAGCACTTCATCATGCTACTGTAGTGTGCCCCATATGGGTATTCTGTCATCATTTAACATCCTTGAGAAGCAGGCTTTATGGTGAAGCAAAATGGAAATACACATGTCATATAAAATAAATTAAATTTTAAAAATTTAATTATTCAATTAGAAATACACATATGAACCCATGAGTCACACATACACAGACACACGTGTGCACCCACAAATGCATATTCTATCTAACTCTGCCTACTAAAAATGCCTAGAAAAAATGACCCACACAACTGAGACCAATAAAATTCACTAGTGGATACATATGTTGGCCCTGAAATATCATTTTCTACTAAAAGAACCCAGAGCTTCTTGCAAGAATGGCAGTTCCCAGTCCATGACAGAAACTAAAGATAAAAATGGAGCATATTGTTATACTCTATAGCACGAGAGTTACCAAAATCTATTAAAATTATAACAAAAGACCTCAATTATCAACCTGAAAAGGCTCCGACTTGCCAAAGCTGGGAAAAATTGAGCTTCAATCATGATGATAATTGCAACTGGGTGAAGCCCACCCAAGTATGTTAAAACACAGGAATTCTTACTAAAGAATAAGTATTTTAAAGTAAAAACTGCATGGTTATATGTTACATTTGGAGGACAAGAATCCAATTAATGTTCTCAAAAACTGCTTTTAAAAATCAAGCAATGATGCTGTTTTTCCTACAGAAGTGAAAGCACTGGGTAGTATTCATTTTTATGAGTAATCTAAATAATAATGAAAAAAGTTACAGAATCAGAACATCACCAAATTTGGCAACTACCTAAATTCTTACAACTAACTAGGCATT